ACTTTTTCATAACTTTCTCATAAAACTTTCTCATAAAACTTTCTCATAACTTTATCATAAAACTTTCTCATAAAACTTTCTCATAACTTTCACATAACTTTCTCATAACTTCCTCACAATTTTAGTTCAACAAAATGCTAATAATCAACATAACTAATTACTGAAACAAAATAAAAAAACGATACACAAACAATAACACGTGCCTCCTGCGAAATAGAAAAACAGCTTGACGATCATGTTTGTCCGAACACATGTTCACAATCAAGCTCATTGTTCGATCAATATCCAACCGTTGATCACCCGGAATTTCCTCAGTATAACATTTCTTTGCAAGAACATCTAGAAACTAGAAACATAAAAAAACACATATAGACAAAGTAATCGAAAATTCTTTTGAAACTCTTGAAATACACATCAAAAAATGAATAAATAAATACAAACAAATGTCTGCAACCGACTTTGCGTCGGTTCTTTCCACAGAACCAAGTAGTTCCCACCCAGCTTGAGCATCTCCCACTGTTGTAGTCAAACAATGTTTCTTGTCAAACAGTTTCTGTATTTGATCCTGAAGATGTTCCAATTCAATACCTATATCATCACTGTTCCCACCAGACGTAGAGCTTGATGTTGATGTTGATGAACTCGAACTGCTGCTAGAACTACGGAGACTGCTGCCAGAACGTTGTAAACCGATTGAGTTCAAAAAATGGTCTTGTGTCAAGAGTACATTCTCCTCAGGTTTCCTGTTGATTGCATCAGACTCGACTATATTCATAATATCCCTGAATTTGCAGCTAGTATTGTTGTTTGCCTGTAGTGACTTCATCTTCGATGTGTCCCAATCAGATTGTGTTTTGACAACGATATCAATCAAACCAGTGTTTGAAATAGCTTCTGAAGCAACCTCCGCTGCACCACCACCAGCGAATTCGAAATGTGCGAAACATTTTTGTGGTACACCATTCGTAGGAATCAATCCCTTCTCTGTAATTTTCTCCGAAAAAACATGATTCCAGTGAAAAACCCGCTGCATATCAACAGAGAGTGTGGACGGATCACTTGCCATATGTTCTGTTTGATGAACAACTGGTTGTGTACTGCATTTCCTTGTCCTCTCAGTACGTTTGCTCCGTCCTGTTCGCTTCTTCACCATGTTGTTTTTGACCATGCGTTTGGCAAATATATTGTTCTGACGCCGACACCTCTGAATAGATGCCAGATTCAATGCATCAATTCCATCATCAGAAACATGTTCAGCACTAGGTTGTATAGTATCACAACGTCGATCAGCAGCCAATGCTGAAAGGTTCCAGTCAGTGGACGACGCTGGTTCCGCAAGACTATCCATGTGTTCTACGGACTTGCAAAAATCATGTCATAAAACATAATTTGCAATATTGATGAAGCGAAGCACAATATAATTGAACTTGTGTTGTTGAGGTATGAAAGCATATTTGTATCTTAAAAATATATATTGTTTTACATTGACCGTAGAGCCATGACAGCTTTCAGTTGACGAAACACAAAAGCATTGCAAGATGAATTGGTTTGTTGATGATTCTACACATGCTTGAACTTCCATGGGCGCAACACATAATATTGTTTGAAATCGCATCAGTCGCAAAGATTCGATTTCAGCAAAAAAACAATAGTCTCATCTCCCTAGTATTAAACATATCCTTTCAGAACTTCTGTTTTAGTAGATGATTTACATATATAAGAAAACATTCATGTATATATGTCTGATATTAGGGATATGTCATAAGTCTCTCAGCCACTACTGTTCTTCATATTTTGTGCACCCCCCAATGTGTATGTGAATTCACTCCGAGTGAAACAGAATCTCTGCCGCCGCATCGTGATACGTAAGTAGAAGAAGATCACGCACAGTTCGCCGCCGTGAAAACAAATCACCTTGTCCCCAAAATCTCTTGCCGTCCACGTCCAAGCCTTGATTCAGACCAAACCCATTGGTATACTGACAACATGTTGATATCTGAAATTCGATCGAAAAAAACATCGAAAACTTGCAGACATAGATATTTGTAACAATTAGGTAAGTGTTGAAAAACTAACAAATACATGTTGGAAACCAAGGTGCGGTTCAAAGTTTTTTCAGTCCGGTCGATTGCCAATGCATCTGGGTTTTGCAAAATGCAACGACAGAATACTGGCAGAGCTGTCGAAATCATAAACCCAGCCGTTTGACGGGAACGGTGATGTTGCCGCGCAATCACTGCTAAGTGCTCCATCGCGAGTTGAACTTTCAGGGTTTCGTGTTGTGGAAAAAAACAACCAATATACACGAATGCAACTGCAAAAAAAAACAAAAGTAAAAAGAAATTTGTTTTGAACACATATAATTTTTTTAATAACTATATAATTGAAATTGAAATGTATTTGTGTGTTTCGCCTTTTCGGTCTTCGTCATGGGTTGCTTCTGGTTCCTCACCACCATCACCATCACCTGGTAGTACCTCACCACCATCACCATCACCTGGTAGTACCTCACCACCATCACCATCACCTGGTTGTGCATCAAGATCATCGTTGTGATTGTTGTTTTCGTCATCAATCACATCTTCGACTAAAACTCCGGCGTCGGCTTTGTCACATCGCTCGATTTGTTCCATCAAAGACTGTGGAATAGCAACACCACTGGGACTGGCACCATGATTTCCAAGCTGATCAACTGAATACAAATTCACTGCAACAGGATGATCATCATGTTCTGTAAGTTCATGTTGTGCGTCCACATAATCTAGATGTTCTTCCACACAGTTGGGTGGATCACTGGGCAGCTGCATCATTTTCTTCTTTTTTATAGGCCTTGTGTTTGGTTCACCTGCAGACATCAAACAGTGACTGTCGCCAAATTACCAATAGCAGTAAAATCACATTCTTAAATATCTTTAACAACCCGGCGGGCCGGAAACCGTGCTCGTAAAAACAATGTTTGTCTAAGAAATCTAATGTTAGCCATAGCGAAACAGACATAGAGGAGAAGATCTTTGCTCTTTGAACACAACGAGTTGGTGATGAAGTACCAGGAACGTTGCCCCCCCACCCACCCTTTCATGTATACAGCGAAGCAACACTACCAGACATATGTGCAGCGTAGCAACATGTAGCGGAAGACGTACAAGGAACGCTAACATGCCCCCTGTAACCTACTTTTGGGGACGTATCTACACAATGCATTACCAAAGGCAAAGGAGCATATCAACATGACATGGGATTGTTTTAGCAAAGGACCTGGAAGGAATTTCTTGGTAATGAAATGGGAATGTCTAGGAATAGGGGTACCAAAACTGGGGGCCCCAAACATTTTCTTTTTAGCAAGAAAAAGGTGAGTTTGGGGCCCCCTATGTGACATGTTCATTCTACATGGATCTAAAAGTAGATGGCTCAACTCAAAAACCAAAATACCCATAAGATGGCACCGCGCGGTGAGAAAGAAAACAGCGCTATTTTAGCTGGAACATAAAACGAGTTCCGCTAATTGAAGAAACTTTTTGGGACATAGATGGCGCAACTCCCACTCATTCGCCAAAATCAGGTTGCAAATTGCCCACATAGATAGCGCAACTCCCAAATCATTACGATTGGAATTTTGTTGGGCCTATTTTGGGCCATGTTCGACAATCTGGGCAGCTTATGGTGGGCCAAACTGGGGGGCTCTTGGTCCGGTCAATTTTAAGTAGCAAGGAGTCCTTTATTTTACAGTGAAGCAACACTACCAGACATCTCTGCAGCGTAGCAACAAGTACAACGAACGTTAACCTGCACCCCCCTCACCCCACCCCGCCCCTTCATGACCTGCGAACACACGCTGGCAAAAACGTGCGTTTTTCGAGCACTGTTTTCGGTCCGCTGGCTAAACAACCAGAAAACCAAACAAAACTCATCGTTGTTGCTTAAACTTTATACTTTAAACTTTTAAAACATGTTCTAGTTTTCCAAAATCAGCTACCTGGACGCCGCTTGCCCTGGTTCGTCATGTCGATATCTTCCCGTGGATCTTTGCAAACCTCTCCTGTTGTATCTAGCATATATATATATATATACTGGCTGCTTCGTGGGTCGAGTTTCCCCAATGTGTTTTCCCGTGCCGCTGTATTTTTAATTCAACATATTTTGAATTCCATTAGAACCCAGAAAATGTGCTTATAGTAGACGGTAAATACAAACAAAACATAATTCAACAAAATCGATGTTACAATATGGTGATGGGAGCCTACGGCATAGCACAAGACCCAACCGGATCTCCTCGTATGATTTTTTGCATCTAATCGTAGAATGCAACCTTCTGACTCAATGGAACAAACCAAAGGTTGTCCTCAAATTGTTTTGTTGAAGAATTGGAAAACTCTTGAAGACAAGCAAACCCTAAACTTAGTTTGTGCCTTATTAACAAACAGATTTTATTTTGCTCTGATGTTTCCACCAATACAGCTAGAAGCTGTATGTAATTATTCGAATGATATTCCAAGAGGTAAAAGTGCAAAATCACTTTAAGACCCAAACGAGTTTCGTCAAGTGAATCTGGATGCAAAAACGCTGTTCCCAGTGTTCTGTAATATGGCTCTTGTTGGCAATGGGACATGAACCCAGCATGCTCATAGGTCAACATCTCGTCATGGTGATGAATCAAAAGCCTGTAGTATTCACCACATTGACAACGGTGAAGAGCGCGTTCTTGAACAGATGCAGCACGACCCTTATCAGCAAGCGTCCATCCGTCATTCATCAATCGCAACCGTTGCCCAAATGCTGTTGTGAAATTGGAAACCCGTGCTGGCATGCTGACCAATGTCTGTGCGGTAACAGCTGATGGCAAAAGTAAGCCATCTTTCGCAAGGCCCAAGTGATGCAACAAATCCTAGGTGGTTTGTTGATCTCTGCCATTGCCATGCGTATTTGTGAACTAGTCAAAAATGTGCGAATCCAACATTGGTTGTTGTTGTGCCTTCACCGCCCCGCGCCCCAAAAGTATTTAACTAAATAAACCAAAATTCTGATGCATGCCTCTTCAACGGTGATCTTGCCGCAATCAGATGTGAATGGTTGTCAACAGCCGCTTCACCCACTTCTCGAATTGCCTGAAGTACTTGTAAGTCGTACTGCATCTCCAAAGCTTCCATGGTTTGTTCGACACTATGTTCCGAAAACGTTTGCTTCGTGTCGACCTGACTGCATGATGAAACAAGTTTAATCAGCCCAAATCCCAATGGAACATTTGAACAAAACTGCAAACAAAAAACTCATTTACCATCCGCCATACTAAAAAAGCAACAAAATCTTATGTGTTGAGCTATTTTGCAAGTTGCCTTTGTGAAGCACACAAGCTTGAAAATCAGATCGTCATCGAAACAGTCTTCAATGCGAAACGGCTCAACCACAGCTGTTCCTCCGTCAAGTTGAAGTACAGATTCAGGAAGAACTTTTCGTGAACCAAATGATCTAATGGCAATGCAATCCCGCCAAGCCTGCGGATGACAAATTTGCATGTTGAAGTTGAAGTTTAACTTGGAAACTAACAAGAATTCTTCAATTTCAAATTTCAAATGTTTTTAAAAACAAAACTCCGATCTCTGAAACATAACTAATCTCCTGGAGGTGGATCCCCAAAACAATTCATCTTAGAAGTAGAAGACACACCGAATTAGTGCCAACACCCAAACATAGACTTGATGTTTCCGTTACTCATTACCTATTATCTACAATCTAATAATGCATGTAGTAGCAGTAGCAGTAGCAGTAACACCAGTAGCAGTAGCAGCAGTAGCAGCAGTAGCAGTAGCAGCAGTAGCAGTAGCAGCAGTAGCAGTAGCAGCAGCAGCAGTAGCAGGTAGCAGGTAGAAGGTGGCAGGTGGCAGGTGGCAGGTATCAGTAGCAGTAGCAGTAGCAGTAGTAGTAGTAGCAGCAGTAGTAGTAGCAGTAGTAGCAGTAGTAGCAGTAGTAGCAGTAGTTCATAGTAATACACACGAATCCAAACCCAAATCTAATATCTATTATATTTCACCCCTCAAACTTCGAACCAATACTACAAAAACGACTCATTGGCAGATGAAGGGCATCAGCTGTCATGTATGCCGATCTTTGAAGGTATTGCCGTTGTCCAGGTCCGAGCGCAAGAACTTGAAACACCGTCATTGTTCCATTCTCCAAATCATCTTCCCCAAAAGGCAAAGCATAGTAACCATACTCTTCCACCAACCCCAGCAAGTGATGAAATCTCAATGTGTATTCACCAGTACGTGGCACTGATGGAAATGCATCATCTCGCTGTTTCTTGAGATAGGCTCTGAATCTTTCAAAACAAGACTTTTGGGATTCCATGCAAGCGTGCAGATCTCTGTGAAATTGTTTGGAAATGATCTCGAGCAACTGCACTTTGTTCTGCCATGGAAGCGTGGTAAGCTCTCCAAGTTGATCCAGAAGTTGTGGAAAACATTCGTCAAACTTGTCACTCAGTAAATCTCTGTTGACTTGCCGCCTCATGTCAGCTGAAATAGCATGCACCGACGCTGCTCTGCCAGCACGAGCCCGAATACCAATGGCGAAATGTTTTGCCTCCAATGTTTTCAGAACTAGGAGCACCGACCCATAAGAGAGTAGTTCCTTTCGCAAAGCCAACCGCAAAGGGCCACCCTGTGAAAATACCAACAAATCACTTTCAAGTTTGCCACCAGGTGCGACAAACCTTGCTTCGATCAGTGTTGAAGGGGTTCTCTGTGTTGCCACATGCAAAAGTTGACGAGCTGCAGCTCTGCTACGCGCCAAAGCATCATCATCATTTACCTGAAACTTTTGGGTCCAATCAGAAAACAACAAAGATGATCAAAGATGCCCCTATCAAAAAAGACCAAGATGAAAAACAATGAAATCCATCCCACCAAAATAAAACTGCAAAATGCTGCAAAAAATATGCCCTAGCTGCACGCACCAAGCATTCGCCGATTCGGAGAATAGACCACGGCGCATCCTTCCAAAAACCAAATGATTGTTGCATGCGAAGTTGCACCGCCCCACGAGCATTGTTCCAATCTGTCAACAAGCAGGAAGCTGTTTCGGCGTCTTGTGCCTCCAATTTCCGGTGTGCTGCTGCTGCAAATTTTGTCAAAGACAATGCCTTCAACTTCCCGATCAACGCATCCATCTCACCACAAGCCAGTTCTATAGCCCTTCTGCCCTTGAGAATGCATTTGTGCTTGGGTGCACAGTTGCATGGGCAGGAATGTAGCCATGATGAAACTGAATGACCAAAGTCCACGATGGGCTGAATCATCATGCACATTGTCCAAAAAGCCAGTGATCGCTTTGAGTCGCTGGAAAGTATTGTCAAGAATCGTATGTCTTCCTGATCTAAGTCATGACTTTCCTCCAACATGTCAACCTTGAGCGCTCGGATAGCCTCTCGACGAGGAACAATCCAATCGAGAACTTCTTTCCTCATGCAAAGGAATACCCAACCCAACTACAAACTCAAACATTTTTCAGGAAAAAACCGCATTCATTCATTATATTGGTGATTGGAATAGACAATCACATCATCATTTGTCATTTGATGTGTTTTTTTTATGTGTTGATACATATACATACTAAGTTACTACTCAGTATTAGGCCAAACAAAATGCCAGCATGAGTCAAGCCCACTGCAAGGCCAAGCATAGTGCAAATACACTTAAATTCAGAAATAAAAAAAAACTCAAAATTTTGAATTAGAGCAAGCTGAGCTTCACATATTCCCAGCGATGCTCCAGCAGTGAAGGGCAACACCCACGGAACATGCTACCAAATGATGCCTTGACTGGTGCAGAGAACCTGTCGTTCCGATCAATGGCAGTGCACCTGAATCGATGCACCCGGCTCCAATTGCCGAAGAACTTGGAGATCGCATTTAACGTCGATGAGAATGTTGCCCAACCACGAAAAGCCTGCTTGATCTCCTCCATCGCGTGATGCATAGCCTGCACACCATACAGGACAGCAGCAAAAAACATGTTACACAACCACAACCCAGCAGCTATATAGTATTATATAGTTAAAAATTAAAAAACTAAAACACATTTAATAAACAAAAAAACGGTCTGATTTTGAGTTTGTGTTGTAGTTTTGGATATTTATTTTTTGTGTATTTGGTTTGACTCGCATAAAAGACATACCAGCTACCGTCTCTACTACCGACAGGCGTCCCCAACAAAAACATTGCTAATAAGCACAAACAGGATACATGATCACTGTCACTGAATGGAAGTGCTCGTGGGCACAGTCGCTGTGCAATATCAGCCTCAAATATTTGTTCCTGAACAGAAATATGCACAAGGTCAAGAGCCTGACCGCCCGATTGACCGGATACCAGCTGCCGTGATTGCTCATGGTGTGTGGACAAACATGCTGGAGCCGTGAAGATTTTGGATTCTGTGCCCATGTCGAACGTCAAGGAATACGACCGGAGCAATGTTGTTTCAACATCCATTGTGTCTGCAGACAATGCCAGATTAAGCCGAAAAACTTTGTTCTCTGTAGCCGATGCTCTCTCTCCCAGTAGCTGCAACGGCAATATGCGTCTGCGAATGCAAACGCCAAAATTCAGAAAACTTGTCTCGTCGGTGACTGATGTCAACGACACATAGTCACATTCGCATACAAAGTAATCTTTTCCAGCTTGTGGTGAAGAGTCTGCACGAATGTGGCAGCACCAATCCAGAGATGGGTTAAATAAATAGTACCTGCTGTACAGCATCGTTGCCAGATCAACAAGCAAACGTTGCCGATACACAGTGACAGCACTTGGCAACCGGAGCTCCTGATGCAACAAATGTTGAGCCAACTCTGGAGACAAAACCATGTGGAAGACAGAGGTCACAATGGTTTTGATCTGAGACAAATCTTTGATTTCATCTCCCAAGCGCACCATGTTGAGGACAGCTGTTGGCGAATACTCGAACCGATTGTTCTTTCCAAATCGTTTGAAGTCTGAATTTAAATTTTGAATTCTGAGTGCGTTGGCCAGTGATGAAAGGCCTGCAAGAGATTCCTGTGAATCTTCAATTGTCTTGCTGGAATCGGTGTCATTTCTCAAGGAACCGAAACCAAAGAAATTGTTATTGCCGACGGAACTGCATGGCAAGAGACACGCAGCATGAAGTTTTCTCAGCGACTCACTGACTGCTGTGAAATTCCCACCAGCTTTGTCGATGACGTAATCTGGTGGATCTGGAATTCTTTGCCATGGGACCTGCTGTCCTTCCAATGAAACCCGGCAGTGTTGATCATCAAAACGGTGCCCACAATCAGCCTCGAGTTGAGACAATGACATCTGCAATGCTTGAATATGGAACGCATTTTGAAATGTCAGCTGATTTTCACGAACGGCTTTCCGAATTTTCTGTGCATCTGCTGGTGGCAAAAGCAGTAGTTGCCTGCGACCACGGGCTTCTACGTCACTGGAAATTGCAGGAATCAGTTTCCATCTTGAAATTTCCTTGGATTGTTTTGTTGCCAAACCAATACATCAAATATGTCTATGTTGAAAACTTGTTGAACAGGTGAATTGCAGAAAAATGAACACTAGTCAGTAGAAACTAAAACATGAATGCAGCGAACTGTTCAAACTTTGAACGGAAAACTTGAAAACCCAAGGCTCTTGAAAGGGTGTCTGATCACACCTGATCAAACTCAATGCGACATACACAAAATCGTTAGGTTTCCTTGATGTACGGGACGGGCGTTGTCCATCCAAGATGACTTCTGACTTTGTCAGAACCCAAGTCCTTGTTTTCCGACCGCAAAGTACACGCATTTAAAGCTAACCGCATTCCCTGAACATATATACATAATTATATTATATTATATAAACTTAAATGCAATTGCTGGTAGTTGAACGGTAGTTGGTTGAACTTTGAGCCCGTTAGTATCCAAACACCCAAAATACTGAGGTACCAGCTGAATGCTATTCTTGTGTTGACATCAATTTGTGAACACAAAAATCTCGTATTCAATTTATTCAGTTAGTTTATTTCTCTTTATTTCACATTAAGAACTTTGGGAAAAACGAAGATCGAAACCTGACAACGGACAAGTAACATCTCTGGAAGAAGATACCGTTTTCTGCATCCGTGCACCAGTGCAGAGCTTTCTGCATCCGCAATCGGCAAGGGGCCAGTAAACATGGCTCCAGCGTCCAGCGCCAAGCTGGCTTTCGAATCTGGCAAAAACAATCTCTCAAAATTATGATAAATAGTTTTCTTTGTTCTAAAGGTTGCTGAACATTGTTGAAGGCCAACCGGCCAATCCATTTCAACTTCATTTGATTGAAAACCGTCAGAAACCTTGAAAACAGATTCGTTCAGTGTTGGGTTGATTGTGGTAGTTGCATGTTTGGCGCCCCTCCAGCGAGAACGAGCAATGTTACAACGCACCCACTGAGAAACCCTTGCCAAGGTATCCAATATATATCAAACAATGGATGGTTTTGCGGAAAAACGTGTGATCTGGAAAAACTTTATGATCCTTTACACATGTATTGTTTTCTACTGCACCTCAAATTGAATATTTGGCTCATGGCGTCATGGTATCAAATTACAACCAGTGTTTGCTATTGCTGGTTACCGTATTTAGAAACCGCCCTGCCCACCATCTATTGGATTGATAACTATTCAATTACTGCAAGATTGGAAGATTGGGTGGTATCCTATCAATGGTTGGTTTCAAATTGTATTGATTGTGGATATAACGGACATAACGTATATTATAAACAAACATAAAATTAATAGGCTGTAAATGTCCACAAACGCTAAAGTTCGTACTACAACTAAATTTATTTTGCTTTGTGTGAACTATGATTATATGGTAGTGCCCCATCAGAATAGATAAATTTTATGCAACCTGAATTTATATATATATATTGTATTATACCGTTTTTTCCTTGTTTGCAACATGGTTAAGAATTTCGACGGTTGACGTTGATGCCTTATGCCGTATAACCTTGCGACCCTTTAACATAGCACCCAAATCGTTCACACGAAAATCCTTAATTCAAACCAGCTAGATTGGCCATCAAATTGGGGTGGAACCTTCGGTGTCATTTTGATGCCCATCCGGTTTTCGGAATGACTGGTGGCGGCATATGCTTCCGGCTCTTCATAAGAGACAATCTGGAGTTGTTCTTCATCTGAATCCATGTTATGGATTAAGACCATGGCAGCTACTCAAACTTGACCTACAGGTTGCCTCCGCAAGTCCGATATACGGAAGGTATGCAGAGAACGGCAGTTCGGCACACGGATCTAGACTTGGCGAAGGCACAGGCTCCGCTACCACTTTGAGGTAGCTATCCCCGTTTTGGGGGAGCCCTGGAACTATGTTACAACACCTGAGTCAGCGAGAGCGACAGCACTTGTTTTCAGCTAAGCGGTTTGCTGCTAATCTTGAGCCATGCGGAGTGCGCATGAAAGATATGAATTAAGTGTACATGTCAACATGCATGAAAGCATTGTGTAGACACGTAAACCAAAATAAATCACAAGGGGAGGGGAGGGGAGGGGAGGGAGGGGAGGGGAGGGGGGAGGGGAGGGGAGGGGAGGGGAGGGAGGGGAGGGGAGGGGAGGGGGGAGAGGGAGAGAGAGGGAGAGAGGGAGAGAGGGAGAGGGAGGGAGGGGAGGGGAGGGGAGGGAGAGAGAGAGAGAGAGGGAGAAATGTGATGTGAGCAACAAAGGTGCACAGGAGGCTCGGTACCATGATGCTGCGAATCACATGTGTTATCTCATTTTACTATATGGTAATTCCTACACACATTGCCGAAAAAGCTCGGCACCATCATTCCGTGGATGTGAAGAAACGCGACGCTTTTATACAGAGACGCTTTTACACACAGAAGCTTTTACACACAGACGCTTTTACACACAGCAGCTTTTACACACAGACACTTTTACACACAGACGCTTTTACACGCACAGAAACTTTTACACACAGACGCTTTTACACACGGACACTTTTACACACAGGAGCTTTTACACACAGACACTTTTACACACAGACATTTTTACACACAGACCCTTTTACACACAGACACATTTACACGCAGAAGCTTTTACACCAAGACGCTTTTCCACACAGAAGCTTTTACTCACAGACTCTTGTACACACAGACGCTCT